AAGGAAATGCCAAAACAAAATATATTTTCTCTGATAGCTTTCTGTTCTCTCTTTTCTCTCCCTCAATCCCTCTTCCCCATCATGAAATAGCCAGTATTCTTACTTCCAACAGGTATGTAAAATTTCATAAAGGTTTGTCAAGAGCTGATTTAACTGGGATAAAATAGTTTTTAATGACTGCTTATTGAATAAATTATTGTGAATATTGAATTTTCTCCATAAAATACTGGTACCAGTGCAGGATAAATCTATGCTGGAGAACATTTCATCCACAGAAGGACAATTCCAATGTTTAAAAATCTTAAATTTGTCTGCAACATTACAAATGTATTAATGTCACATTGCAAAAAAAAAATAAATCAGAATTAGAGAAAATATACTCTGGCCTTATTTTTCTTCTCTATAAATATTTTAGTATTTATTGATTCGTGAACCATAAAGACACTAAATCACAGAAAAGCTCAACTATGAAAGCAAAGATTGAGTCTTGATATTTAGAAAAGTTCAGCTATTAACCGAGGCTGGATAAAAAGAAGGGCAGAGATAAATTACTTAGAAATGTTGGAAAGGACTACATGGTTTGAGTCAGACACTGACCATGCATTCTAGTGCTGCATTTTGTTCGTCTAAGGACCAATACAATGATGTTTGATATTTGCCAGAATGCTCATGTTCTACTCAATTAGTAAACATGCTGGCTATTAATTTTTTACAGGCTGTAATTTTTAATGTGGATTTTATCATAGAGACAGACATCACCTTCAAATAATATGCCTGTTTAGGTCTTTCTCTGTTTCTTGGAAGGATTTGTAATTATCAAATATGTACTATGCATCTGACTGTGCAAACTTTTAATACCGTAAGTAAAAAAAATTAAGATTTGGAATTTAATGGTGCTTAGAATAATCTGTCAGTGATGAGAATTTTCATATTTTAAAATATTTCTCCACAGAATTAAACTTTTGCTATCACACAGATCTAATACAGAAGAAAATATTTTGCAGTTTGACCAAAATGCTGCCTCTTCAAAGACAAATTTTGCTTTTTATTGTGAAAAATTATGGAATGCATAAGCACCACAGGTAGCAGAGGTCCAATAAGACTATTATGGCCCCCTCTTGCACCTGGTCCCCATCAAACAGATGCCTGAGAATTAGTGGGAATTTGACAACTTGCTTCCTTCCCTTTGCTTCAAGCCCTGTGCTCTTCCCTGCCCTGGGAGAGAGCATGGCTGTAAAAGGGATTCTTGTCCTCACTGTTCTGGGATTAGGCACTGCACTGTAGGAGGAACATCTATGGAGTGGGAAATGTGGGTTCAGAAGTTCATCTTATGGACTGCGATGAGTTTCACAGCCACAAAACAATGCTTTGTCATGCTAGTGCTTAGCCAAACTTTGTCAAAATATACTGGAAAAGTGAAGGAAACCACAGATTAATATCTGCCCCCCTTTTGAGCAGCTCAAGTTCATAGAATCACAGAATGGCCTAGGCTGGAAGGGACCTTAGATATTATCTAATTCAGCCTCCCTGTCACCAGGGACGCCACCTCTCAGCTAGATCAGGCAACACATGGGGACTGAACGAGAATCGAACCCTCCACCTTGGTGTTGTTGACATCACGCTCAACTGACTTAGACTCATCCCATGTGTGTGCTGGACAGTAGGAATTTGCATTTTAATTCCTGTTCTCCATGTTAGAAATTTTGATTTTATTACCAGAAAGAGTCACTGCAATAATAGGAAATAAACGTGATACCTTATTAAAGTCTTCAAGGAAAGGAGATTATTTCAGAAATGTCTCTCTCCCTATTTCATTTATTGTGTGCTTGTGTGAGTTACAGTATTTGTTATTTTTACTGATAGTTCAGAGAAGATAAGTCTAATTCAGTATTCACAGATCTATATTGTAAGTGAGGTGTAAAACTTCCCAGAAATTCTTTCTCATTGTGATGAAGATCCCATGTATCTTTGATTTTTACAGAATATTAACAATAGTATTGTACATCGACCAGGAAGGCAATCAAATCTCAATTATTCACATGTTAATATTATTCTCATCCTTTGAATTTCTGCAGCACATTTTCCTGACTGCTTATTTGAATATGAGAGGATCCACTAGACAACTACTTTTCTCTGTGTTATAAAAATATTGTAAATTTGCATTGCAAACAACAAGTACAAGACAGAAAAATTCTGTGTCCTATTCATAGTCTATTTAAATTAGTGCATAGCAAAACTGGGCAAAAAATAAAATGAGGATTTTTATGAAATAAGAAAAGGAATAGTTCACTAAATCTCATGTTAGATGGCTAAACAACAGAGGAAATATGAAGTGTAACATTCTGGTGTTTTGGAAACAGTTGTGATGGTAATAATTAAAGAGTTTTGTCATGTATAAATTTCATGCAAGACTTGTCTGGCAGGATATTTTCTGTAGATTTTGTTCTCTCATCATTTTATTATTAGCCTATTGGTTATGCCCAAACGGACCAGCTGAAATCACATCACTGTGATAGAATCGATATAAAAATGCCTTGAACAACAAAGTCAAAAAACATGCAAGTCTGAAGTCTAAACAGTAGAAACAAGCACAAAGAAGTGTTTCACAGAGAGTCATACAGCCGGCTAGTGGAAGAGACAGGTCTACCAGTCAAGTCTGCTGCTTTCTGGACCAGTGGTCTTACATATGAGACACTACTGATTTAATAAATTTTGCTAATTTAATAAAATTAATTCAGCTACATAGCTGATAATTGTGAACAGGCAACATTAAAAAGATCCTAAGAATTATGTAAGGACAGACATGGCACTGTCCGTGTCGAGTTTACCCAATAAAAGTGGTATCTGCTCACTGAAATGTACATCCAAGCAGCACAGGAGATACCAGTGGTCCTCTCTTCACCGCCTGCATGACTGCATTAACTGTTCTCACTGATCTGTCTTGTTCTCTCTTCAGCTTGGGTCACTAGGGCTCTTTAAGCTAACAACACGACTGTTATCGTCACTTTGACTCCTGTATAAATGCAGATATATCTAAGATGGGTTTAAACTTGTTAGTTCTCACATAATATTACCAGTCTACTTTATGCCAACATGGAGTTCAATGTGCATTGTATTTATATTTTGTGGGTGATTTGTCTTCAAACACACTATTATGACTATTTGCAGTGTGCAGATTAACTGTATATAGGCACAACTTAAACGTGCACAGCAATCTAGAAATATACAGTATTGAGGCTGAATTTGATGATCTCAGAGGTCTCTTCCAGCCTCAATAATTCTGTGATTCTGTGAGTCTCTCATGATAAAGCTCAGAAGCTTTTGTCAAGGCAGGTTTCCTTGTTTTCCACAATGAAATTTGTTCATGTATACAGTATCTTGTGTTTCCAGAATGCATTTAAAATTGATAAACTTAACAGAAAACTTTTTTCTTTTTTTCTATTGTGTTTTCTCTATTGTAATAGGAAGTTGTAATAGGAAGTAAACTGTTATATTAAGCATGTGAAAGCACATGACCTATAGCTCCACTGCATGAACTCATGTAATAAAGCAGACTCTTTGCTGGGCCTGGGGAGGACTGACAACATGTCTCTATTGTGCGTCCTTACCTGAAGGGTGGAGTTTGGATCCCGTGTGACAGAGACGGTCAAAGTGCTGACGGCTGCTACTGTGGCTGTTTTGTTCATCAGGAATTGTGCAGAGTTCAGTAACAATGGCTTCTTTTTTTGTCAGTCCAGCTTAATATATGGTGGCTATTGATTTAAAATAGGAAATTTCTGCTAGTTAGTGTCAAGCTTTAGGTGTCCAGAATAGAGGTCATCGTTCCTTTTCATCCTGAGATATGAACTGAGCTTTAGCTGTGAGCAATATTTAGCTGGATTCTTTTTTTGCCTGATCTGTTTCTGTGATATGATCAAAAGTATGAGCAGGTTAAAAAATAGTAACAAAATTCTTAGCTATAAAACATGGCCTATATTTGACTGCTGACTAAATGACCTCCTTCTAACAAAGTAAATTTTTTACTATTTAGAGGTATATTTTTGACATTTCTATTTCTAATGTAGCTTAAAAAACCCCAGCAGCAACATGGCACAATGGCTTTTTCACCTCTGATAAAATTGATGTAAATGGAGTCACATGCTAGCAGATGCAACTTACTAGGAAAATCAGGTGTGCTTCAGAGGTGTGAGGCTAGATGAACACAAAAAGTGGTGGTTTGGGTGGGGGTTTTTTTCCGAAATCTTTCCCAGGAATAACATGGATATTTCCATTTGAGGTATGCCAGAATGTGTTTAGAGTTGTAACCTCAGAGGAAAAAGCAGAGCAGGAAATAAATCTGTCTTCCTATAATTAAGGAAATTTTTTTCCATGCTTTTTACTTCTTGGAACATGAGCCGCTTTTTCTTCCCCTGTCTTTTCTCTTTTTCTTTTTGTACTGAATTGATAGGGAAAATTGTTTCGATAGAAACATATTGATTGCCATAAAAAACTGTATGTTACCTGCTCTGTACTCCTCACAGTGATATTTAACTGGTGAGAAATGTGATCTCCTGTCACTTATAAACAAAAGCAAAGCTGTCTTTCATTTTTAGAGTTTATTCCCTAAATGGCCTTGAATGTTCATTTCTTTGACATAAGATAATTAATCATTCTCTTGCTTTGCAGTTTCTAAATGGCTAAGTACTTAAAAAGTCAATATTGAATTTCTAAGCAGAAATCCACATGTGAATACAGTAAAGTTCCACTATCACAGCATTGTATTAAGGGATGTATTGGTATATTTTATATCTATAAAAATAAGAAGTTTTAATTTGTCTTATGAACAGTATTTTTAAAAGTGCTACCTTGGGTTTATTGATAATAATTTTTAGAAACTATGTCTTCTGAGTCTGGACTCATCCAAAGTGAAAAATGAAAAGTGAATTATTGCTGGAAAATTCATCCAAAGTCAAGGGTAACTGTATGCTTTAAAACATAGTTCTCTCTGTTCTTTATTTAAGGGTTAAAGCCAAGTGATCCAACCATGACTGGCAAAACACAGACCAGCAACGTCACCAATAAGAACGACCCAAAGTCCATCAACTCCAGAGTCTTCATTGGCAATCTGAACACAGCCATTGTCAAAAAAGGTGACATCGAAGCTATCTTTGCAAAGTATGGGAAAATAGTTGGCTGCTCAGTGCATAAAGGTTACGCGTTCGTACAGTACATGAGCGAGAGGCACGCAAGGGCTGCAGTGGCGGGAGAGAATGCCAGGATCATCGCAGGGCAGCCGCTAGGTAAGGGCTTGTTCATATCATTGAAATACTGTTTTCTCTTTTTGTTTGAAATATCATCTACTGCTGGTGCCTTGGGGACTAGTTAAGTGGGTTTTGCCATTGTTCCATGTAAGTGTATTTCCAGAGCATTGGATCTGACAGAATTCTCAGTGTGTTTGGTGTTACCTAGAAATTATAAAATGTTTAGTGTTATAAGCAGCTGATTTATTAAACACATAACTTCTGACTGCTTTATACTTCTGTCTGTCATCCTATTGTAGTGAACATGACTATTCATATGAGTAAAATATGAGTATTTTCTCTTTGACTCTAGATAGTAAAATTTATATAATGAGATTCATCTAATAGATGTAGTTATCTTGCATTTAATGAGTCTAAAACAATATCCAGCTCAGTGGTGTGTCAGAGTTCATGTAGAAGCAGAAGAATGAGTTTTGTTAGTGCTTGAAATTTTACTAAGTCAAACTGTAATGCTGTTATTAATTTAGACAAGTTAATTATTAAAAACTTAAGTTGAAGTTATTCCCACATAATGTTGTGGACACTGTTCATCTGAACTCGAAACTAAAAAAAAAATGTGTAATATTTTTGTTTTCTAGCGCTTTGTCATGAATGCTTATGTAACATCTTGTTTTTTCTTATTGCAAGTTTTATCTCTGAAAGCTATTTGCAATGAGATGTAGAGGCTGTCGATAAAATCATCTGGTAAACGATGCTAAACCCATCTGTCATATATATAGTAATGATGGACAGTACAGCAAGATGTTTGGTAGCAGCCAGAGAACTTTCACTAGACCTCTGAACTACATCGCTCAGATCTAAACCCATGTGTGTAATGGCTGTGTCAGGAGAAGGTGAAGTGTAGCTAGCACTTTGGTGGCAACAAGTCATAAAGAATGGATATGGCTTATTCATTTTCAGTTTCTCGGACTGCGGAAATCTATTTTTCTGATTCCTTGTAGAAATGGAGGCATTTGTGTTAGATGGGTTGCTGTTTTGTCACAGTTGCTCAACAGTAATTTTAAGTTTTATAACCCCTGTATTTTGGGTTCAAAAGAAAAAGAGATTAAAGAAATCCAATTACATTTTAGGGGAGATTACTTTACAACTTTTTAAGGAAAAGTTATATATACAAGTGAAATAAAAGAACTCAAGTGATAAAAGCAAGGCAGCAAAGTCAATCTGTGGGATGGCATTATTAGAAGATATTTCCTGGAGCGGTGGTCTCCGAGCAATAGGCCATGTAATGCCATCAGTGCATTATTTACAGCTCCTTGCACACTGGTCTGACCAGATTTTTTAAACTGTGTTTTCCTAAGGCAAGAGATCTGTTATTACTATGACTACTGTTGCTAGTCTCTTTCAGTATTTCTTGTGGCATCTATGATATGCCAAGTGCTTCGAACAAGGAGATGCCCTTGTTCTACTCAGAGTACTTTCATGCTTTGTATAGAAGGTAGGTGAAGTTGAAGTAAAAGAAATTAAGGGATGAATAATTACTTGAATTGTTCAAATCTTTTAATAATAACAGAAAGTTTATTCAACTGTATAATCTTAAAATACTTTCACTATTCTGTAAAGTCTTGTGATGGCATATTTCATGCCTCAATTCCTGATGTATCAGGGAATGTAAAAAATAAGCAGGGTGAAATTTTCTTTAACTGTTCTAAACCTCATTTACTCTATCTTTATATGAAATACAGTTGTCATTTGTCTTGTTTGACAAAGAAAACAACTTCGTAAGAGTCGAGCTTCTTGTTAGACAAACTGTTGCCATGAATTAATTTTATTTGCAATAGACATTAACAGTTGCCACAAAATAATGAGAACCTGATAGATAAAATTTGCTTGGCTTTATGATCCAAAAGAATAACTTATGTAAAAATTGTGCATTTGAATGAAAGAAGGAAAGGTAGACTTATTAATGTAAAAGTACTGGATGAAAATTACTTTCATCTCTGTCCTGAGCAACTTGCATTCTGAAATAATCAGAACACAATTTTATAACAAAATATGGAAACAGGACAAGAAAAGCCTTTTACAGATGTATATATGAACTTGATTAGCATAGATTAATTTTCTTTTAAATGGAATTAGATTAGAATATATTAGTAATATAATGCGGGCTAGATGGTAGTCAGTTGCAGAAAGCTGTTTGTACAAAAGAATATCTGAAAGAGATTATGGCATAGTGTATGCCTGATACTACTAACACTTTAGTACTCAATACATGACACACATAATTTAATTTAGGCTGCTTTGTTAATCTACATTAGTTCTTTCATGGCTTTGGCAAGCTGACCTTTTATGTTCACTCCTGTCTCTATGGAGTTCTGCCATTCAAAATTATGCTATCCTCTGCAGCAGATTTACCCACGAGTCAGAAACTGTTTGCATAAATGTAACTGAAAAATTGAACCCATAAACTCCTATAGCTGTATATAGTGTTTCACAATTCACTGAATATCCTTCCTTCTGAGGTAGAGTCCCAAAATGTTAGGTTTCATAGGTACATAACCAGGCACTTTTAAAAAATATTCCTCAGAAGTACAAACCTAAAGCAATGGTCATGTCTTCAGTCTTGTTAGCTTCCTGTGGGCAATTATAATTGACCTACTGGACTTCTTGGACAACTCTTAAGCTCCTACTAGTGTTTTTCGTGGACAGTGATGTGCAATGGCTATGCCATGGATATTGTAAACAGGAAAGTTTATTTCATAAGTAGTGTCATTTTTTTCCAAGTTTTCTATTCCATGAAGTGCAACATTCTCCGAAAAGCTGTGGGAAACAAATTGTAAAAAAACACAACAAAACATGCTTAAGAAATTTATTGCTATTATTGTTCAGTGTAGTTTCCTGAAGTGATATTATATCTTCAAGGGAATAGCATGTTTTCCTGACCGCAGGGCAGTGACAGGTCAGATTGGGCACAGGAAACTGTTTCACATTATTATTTTGTGAATTCCTTCAACCTAGAGCCAAGAAAACATTGAAGTAGGTCTAGGACAAAATTGCAAGTTGTGTTCCTGGTTGTCAGATTACCCCCATATAAACCCCTCTGCTGTATCACTTCAAAAATTTTTCATCCATTTAAACACATCTAAGAGTTAAAGAACATTTGTGCATATTCAACTCCTTGCCACATTGGACAAAAGAGACAGGATGACTAGGAATTATTCTGAAGAAATGCTAAGTCTGTGAGCTTTACCAAGGGTGATTCCAATCTTCTATGGTGAGAGGAGGAAGAGTAGAGACCTGCTTGCTCCAAATGGAATGGTGTAAGACCTTCATTGCAGCTGTGGAGAGAGATACA